AAGATTTCTTTTATTCTACAACACTTAACTGAACAAAAGGGAGATATATCATCCATAAAGATATATGACATAGCCTAGAGAAAGAACAAAAGAATGAAGTGATGAAACACACAAAGGAAATACTCTTTGAATTACCTTTTATATTATCTGAGAATAAAGAGATGAGCATATATCCAGCAGATAACCAATTAATAGTTTTACGAACAGGTAAGTACAGTTCATAAGCTTATTTCTCACACTGTCTCTTCAACATACTTTCTGTACAGCTGCATTAAAATGAGATTCCAGTTGCTAAAACCATATAGGTGTCAAATTCTTCCCTCACCAGTAACTTGTGCTGCAGCCTCAGATTCCTGTAGCTACTCAGTTAAGACTGCTAACGTGTAAACACAAACACACAGCCTTCGATGCTATTGAGATTTAATAGTCTATGTAATCTCAGTGTGTTTACATTTCTGTCTCACAAAACTACTTCCAGGGGAATTTTTTTTCCCCATCAGTTACATCTGATTCCCACTTTGTATTTCATCACGTCCTCTCCTTTTTCCATTTTTTTCATACACAAGCCAGTACTGCTTCTCTGTAGAAAACCAGGCTACAGTAAGATACGTTAAAGCAACTTAGAAACCTTTTGACGTTGTTGACAAGAACCGGGTTGTTGGCAAAAATTGGAGCATGGTTTTTAACATAAAAGCATATGCTTCCTGGACATAATTTTAAATGGGAACTGTTAAAAAAAAAAAAAAAAAAAAAAAAAAAAATTCATACACCTATTTTACAATATAAAGTATGGGGAAAAATACAAGATTACAGATTAATTTTTAAATTTGAAAAACTCACTTAGAAGTTCTCTAACAGTAGTGGAAGCATGTTCATTATATTTACAGGTATAACAAAGTTTTTAAATACAGAAAAGATTGAAAGAAAACTTTGTGATAGATATGAATATTGCATCCTATAAGTCAGGATCTCTAATGACATTGTAACATGTAGTGGTACATTGCAAATTTCTGTAACTTACTTTATGAAGAGATAAAAACAAAGACAAAGGAATATAGTATGCACACAGGAAGATTAAATTTGGCTCAGAACTTCCATGTGTTATTTACTTTTAAATCAACCAGTTTATGTTTCTTTTAAATCAGTCCAAACTCACATTCTATTCTGATTTTGACAAAGGATAGGCATCAAGATATTTATACAATAGATGGCTTTTATCTGTTAAAAAAGTCACCCTAAAATTTTTGAATGGGCATTCAAACATCTCAGAGTTTTAAATTTCAAAATACTCTTGTCTAGTATCAATCATTTCTGTAATTTCATAACATCATGCCATAGCTCAAAATGCTGAAATTACTTTCTTCTTCAAAGCCACTACCACTTGAGACTACCTCCTAGTATCACTCAGTTCATTATTCAGCCTGCTTTTACTTCCTTATTCTTACACAATTCCCATTTCTTGCTACTTAACACAAGCTTTTTTTAGACCATGCCTCAAAGAAATCTTCCATGTCACAGTCAGAGTCACCACTGTCTATCCAGAAAACAAGTTTCCATTGTCATCAAAAAGATGTTATAATAGTGAGTCTCTAACAGAAGAACATCTTCATTACCTTCTCACAATTACTCCTGTATTTTTCTGGAAATCTTGAAGTTATAAATAGATATTTTTGAAAGCAACTAGGAAGTTAATCACTGGTAAGGCCTTTGGGGTAAGTGGCATAAACCCTCTGCAAACAGTCTGGAATGCAGGGTCAGCCGTATATTCCAGTGAATTACTCCATCTTTGTCACAGAGAACATTACCTTTCACTTGACTGCAAGCCTTTTTGAAGGGATCTCTAACATTTCTTCCCCTTGTGGCACTTCCAACCTCAGACTAAGAGGATTTATTTCTCCTCAGTGCCACAAGTATTCACATACAATTCATCTGCGTTTATCTTTGCTATAGGTAGGTGTCTGGTAGCAACTGTCTTTTTCCTGACTGTTAAAGAATAAGTGATATACTAATATTCATACTCAAGTCTAATCATAATTACAACAAAGTTATTGACATCTGAAAAGCTTTGCTTTACAACATTGGCCTGAACATTCAACTGAACACACATTGAACAGATAAAGTTATTTTACTTCCTAGGTTTTACCCACAGGATGAAAAGCACTGATGAAAACTGATAAGAAAATATAACCGCAGAGTTTGATCTCTAAAGAAGCTCCACATGATTTTCCTTCAGAAGTGCTGCAGATTAAGAAAAAAGTGATAGAGCTAAGGGCTAAGTTTGGAAGTACACAGCAGGGAAGTCCTCCTTGTACATGTTGATGATCTCACTCTTGAAATAGAAGAGATGGAAATCAATGTAATCATCTTTCTTTTTGCTCAATCAACTACCATCTTGCCGAGTTGCCTTGACAGAATAGCTCAACTTTTAATAATAATTTAGGGGAGAAAAGCTAAAAGTTCCTGTCCTGCTGAGACATATAGCATATGTAAATTCTGGCAAGAATACCCTTTTTTTTTTAATCCCAGAATACACGCACATTCTTCTCCCTCTGAGAGTTCCGTTATGTGACAGGAATCAGACTGAAGATGGTCTTTTCCCTTCTCTTCCTCTGCCACTGGTAATTTCCAGCTACTGTTTCTGTTCGTTTTTTTGTATACCCATTCTCCAGCAGTTCACAGGCTACATGAAAAACTGCTTACTTAAAAATATTTTTTATTATTATTTATTATTGGTTTTAATTCCAGAAAGTGTTTGATTTTTTTTTTCCAGTAGACCATCACAGAGATACTGCATACTGTAGCCAGACAGCTGAAATATCACAAATGGGAGCAAAAGTAGCAGCTTGATTAGTTCTGCCACTGAAGAGACAATCATAGCTTATAGGTTTGTGAGGACTTCCCATCTTCATTGTAAATTTGAGACTGCAAGCTCATTTCTGCTCTCTCATGAACATTTGGACAAACTCAAAAGTAACAGAGCAGAAATAGAGCTTTCAGATAAAAGTTCTCTACATTTGAGTGCCTAATCTCCTATATGGATAATCAGGTTTGAGAACACAAGTAAAACTCAAAAATGTGTGGTAGTTCAGATTCGGTTTCAGTGGCATATACTGTCTGCATGCATATCTGAAATTAGGTCCATTTGTATTCAAAATTTTAACTATAGGTTTAAGTGAACTTGGGTCCTTAAAACTTCAGGTACCTATATTTATAATTATCATTGTTTTATTTATCATTCTGCCCTTACAGATTATACTTAGGTTTTTTCTGTTGTAACCAAGAAATACCTCTATGCCATACACTCATTAACTATCCTAAGATCACTACTACCAAAGAGATACAACATGCATTTTTAAAATTGATACCTTGGTGCATCTTTCCACCTTGGTGCCATAAGATATCCTTAACTCAAAGTTAACAGCTAAGTAAACTAGTCGTGTTTTCACTGTGTTATAATAATCTTTCAAGAACCACTGGCTCCTTCTATTATTTTTTTTTTCCTTTTTCCTACATGAAGCAGTTCTGATCAAATGCTTTCTTAATATTATTCCACATACATTTCCAGCACCCTAAAAACGCTACTTACAAGCTCATTCAGAGAGGCAAAGAGCAAAAACATTTTGAAAAGTAAGCATCCTCACAATTGTGCCCATTGCTTTTGAACAGAGTACCTATTGCTAGTGTATACATAAATGCAAGACAGAGGACTATAAGCAGAACAGATCTTCTCATGAATCACTCCATGGACATCATTTTGGTATGCAGACAGGGAAGGGCAAGATAATTAGCTATTTATTATTTCAAGAATAGAGCAGGTACTCCCATTGCTTGACATTCAGTGCTTCATGTGAAATATGACCAATACATTTCATACTTTTTGAATATGTGGCCAAGTTTTTCCCAGCACTTAATTTGTTCTATCTTTACTTTTCAGATTTCCCATTGCCAGGGGGCATAGGAGTCTCTGACCATCCAGTATTTGTCACGCTGCAATAATTTACATTCTGCCATATACATAGGCAGAAAACCAGAAAATCAGCCTGCATGACCACCTTTCAAATTCAGGAGCTGTTGTTCCAAAAATACAAAACATACATGCAGTGAATTTATTAGATTCTTATATGCCCATTGTGCACAGCAGCCTTTGAACATCATTGTGAACAAAAGAAAGTAATTTCTTCAAAGATGTTAGTATAACAGCTTTAAATAAATTAAGATATTAACAGATCCTCTGTTTCCAAGTTGTATTAAGAAAAAATACAGCATAGTTTACAGAGGAATACTGTGCTGAATTCAAACTTGAAGTTGCACAAGCAGCCACAGTAACCCATACCTTCATAACTACATAAACATCCAGCTTGCTTTCTAGATGTGAATGTGCTGCTGCAGAACTAAGGAATGTCCTGGAGTCAAGAAGACCACAACAACTGATCAACTGTTATGTTTTGCTAGGTTCATTATTGTCACACTATCACACAGACTCTCAGTTTCTCCTGCCTTTACACATGAAGTACAGCTACATATAACTTCTTCAAAATTATACTTTAAGGCTAAAGATTGTTGATAACTCAGTGAAAGAAAAGTAACCACTGAAGAGATGATGAATTTCAAATAAATATACTGGTAGTATCTGATGACTCTCATTAACTCCACATTACGAAGCTCTGTATATTCGATTGACTCTTGAAATATTAATTCAATAATTTTCCTGGCAATAGCTTTGCTTCATAGTTATTTTTTCCTAAGATGAGTATTTTACCATTCAAGATCTACCAGCATTTTTTGGTACACAACACAAAGCATAATATTATTTGTAGGTTTGTTCTTCTCATGAAGATACACAGAAGAGTCATCTGAAAAACAGAGCTATAGCTGAAAACAGAACTAAATCAGCAATCAGAACAACTTATCCCCAGTGGTATTCACTGTCTTTTTCAAAAGCTAATATTGATGCCAAGATCAGCAGTTCAGATAAAAATCTTTGTTAGTAATGCACTTACCATATTTATTGATGATACAGGACCAATGCTGTTGACATAAATGTCAACATCAATAACTGTTGGTTTTACTGTGGAGGAAAAAAAAATATCATTTAATATTATTTTGCAGAAAACATAAGTAATCACTTTAAATATTTTCTTCCCCAATAACTGTAAGGCCTAACTTTCAGGTAGCACTATTGAAAAACATGGATTATGTCTTTTTCAGGAAGACAAGGTTCTATTCCTTCTACCCCCAAAAAATGCCATAAATTACATGCCTGTATCACTTTATCATCACGATCTCCATTTATCTCAGCAGCAGTTTGTTAAAGAAACTTTCAGTGCTAACCACAGTGCCTCAAAGTCAAAATCTAAAATGACTGACATGAAACTAGAAATCATACAGCATATCACTTTTTCCCATTGCCTCAACACGCAGGTCCTTTAGCATGTTTCTGCCACACCAAAAAATCTTTCCAGATTTTCTCATCCCATCAGCCCTGAAATCATCCTAACAGAGTAAAATCACTATGAAATCCATTTAGCTAAACCTAAGCAACTCTTCTTCTTTCAATTTAGACTCATTCCCTTCAGCCCACATTGCCTTTGCACTCATTCATCCAAAGGTTTTTGAATTTGAATTGGTTCAGCCAATGCTAAGATCTTCCATTTTTTCAGACTTCCAGGATTTAATAGACCAGGACAAGCTCTGGACTCCTTTATTTAGATGAGGCCACTAGGATTTATCTTCCTTTTAGCATCTTTCAGTGTCAGCGTACCTGCTGAACAGTATTCAGATAGCTCTTACTGATGGTGTAGCCTAACTCTAAAATAACGCCACTCCTACACTGAAAGGTATGTTGTTTTTTTCATTTCTACTGCCCTCCTTCTGATGCCACAGGGTATACATTAACCTCTAAATTGAGATCTAAATTGGTGGTTTACCTTCTCCAGGCTTAGCTGACCCAAAACTAAATAAGTATAAATCTTGCTCTAACCTGCATAGTCAGAACTCATGCAAACTTGGCCCTAACAGGCCAACAGCTTCTGTTAGACATCTCCCTTTCCCATAGAGGCACCTTCCCTTCTCCATGGTCTTCAAAAATCTCCAGATAGCAATTCAAACCACTGAAGTTTGGGAACTATGTTGAACTTTGTACTTTTTGCACCAATGTCCAAGTCCCCTAGAATGAGGAAATGCCAGTACATCACCCACTCAAAATTCAGAGAGCTTCCCTCAGGGAAACTACTGAGAAGAGAAGTGAGGAAGAGTTTAATAACACAGTTCTGTGGGAAACTTAACTCAGGTAGATAACTTAATTTGTTTAAAGCTTAAGAAGCCATTTGGCACAAGCTGCAGACAGACAGGAATCTTCACATGTAAAGATAAATAATTTTTGCCCACAAAATTTCAGACTAACAGTGAGATGCTGAAAAGTTTTAAAATACCTGAAAAGTTAGATGGCTCTAAGAAAACAAGCAGTCTGGCTTTTCATGTAAGACTTTTGTATGTCCATATCATTAGGAAGACTAGATCTAATGTTGCAACACCAGACACTGAAGTGGGTACAAATAGTGGTTAAAGATGATAACCATTCTCTCTAATTCATTTCTTTGACTGCATACGGTTAGAACATCCAGGATTATTTAATGTCATGGTTTCAAATTGGCTGAAGTACTGGCTTATAAACTTATATCTTCTCTTCAGCAAAAGAAAATCTGAACTCAGCTGAATAAGCACAACCAATTAATGCAATTCTAATTGTAGCCAGTTAATAACTAAGTAGAAGTCTAGCAGCTTCTGGTAATGAGACCTGCCTCAAAATACATTAATAAATGCCATTACATAGGAACTGTTAATAGCAGAGAACTCCACTTAGTTCTTTTACCAAGGTAGTATACATGGAATAAAGGCCTCTGATCTTTTTAAGGCTTAGTCACATATCTAGCTGGAAGTTCAAAACTAAGGAGTTCTGGTGAACATTAATGGGAATAGACTTAGTGATGTAAATTGGCAGGCAATTGAATCTTGGCAGGATCAAGGACAAAGTTCAGGACCAGAACACAGTGCTTGGAATCCATTTTTCTTTAATCATTGCGGTTAAGTATATAAATAGATTATGAGATGATAATTTCTCCGCAATGTGCTGAGCCAAATTCTCTTGTGGTACAAAAAAAATGAAACAGTGATTGTTAATGCTAAAGGGAGTTTGGTCATACTCACAGTAAAGGTCTAATCTTGAAACAGATGAAAACTAAGCAGCAGCCACTTCTTATGTCAAATTAAATCAGCATCTAGCCTCAGATATTCCCAGTGAAATTCAAATTAAAAATAATTTTAAAAGAAATACAAGTAAGCTATTGTATCACTACAGCAACAAAAAAGACTGAAAGTTCCTTTGAATGATATATTGCTTTCCTAGGCAGAGGCAGAAAATAGAATTGTAATACGATTGGATGGCAAATATGCATTCAGGTTTTGAAAGGACAGAAGAGTATAGGTCTTGTTGCACATAGTTTCTCATGGATATAAACAGATATAAACTGGGAGAACCATCAGATATAAATTTTAGGTTTGTTAGCATAGGATATAATTCAAAATACCAACCATAATGTGGTAAAGATTTTAAGATTATTTAATCCAAAATGCATTATGAAAAATAAAATAACTGAGTTTAAAAGTTATCATGTCTTATTAGAAAGAACTCGCCCTCTACCAGTCTTCAAAATAAACTGAGTTTCATGGAAAGACATAACTAATTACATTACAAATTATGTCAAGGTCTGCTTAGATTTTCTGTATACTAAATGTATTTATGAACACTCAGTTCATGGGCTGATTTAAGTGATGCATGGAGTAGCTGAGCTAAAGATAGAGCCTTTTTTCTTGCACTAAGAAAATCCTCACAGTCTTGTTGATCGAAGTATTAATACCTCACTAAAAGTTGGCAGTAAGATTACAAATGGATACTCAGCTCCAGTACCATTTTGATATCAGCATCAGCCGAAAACAGTTCTAAAGAGCTGTTAGAAACTTAGCAAAATTACTGGCAGAACCATGTGTATACCACATACAGGAGAGCACTTACAAGTTGTTAACAAATGTACCAATATTCTCAAAGTTCTTTGAAATATTCTTTAATATATGGTAGTTGACTTTCCCTAAAAGACAACGTAAGCACATCCGAGTAACTGCAGTGTTATGCTGCTACACAGTGCTACCTAAAACTAGCTACACTGCTGATCGCAATCATTTAATCTTCAAACATGTTCATTTTAATTGAGGAGATTTACCAAGCCAATCAAAATATCTGCAAACAAAATGAAGGCCATGCCAATATTTAGCTAATAGTCCCCATCGGATCCAAATGCCATGTCTTTGAGATAGGCAGTTTATATTCTAGTCAGCCTTGTGACTATCACATTACAAAGACACATCTGAGTGAAATCTGTCTACAAACTTTAGACAGTTCAAAAAATGCCTAGCCACAGGAGTTGTGAGGTCAACACTGCCTGCAAAGCTCACCTAAGAAGCCAAGCGAACACTTAGACGGTTGTGTAAAGTTAGGTCAGGTACATCTGGACAACAAAACGTTGAAAGAGCTAAAATAATGCCCTGAACACAAATACCCATGCAGGCCAACTACAGGATATGTGTAGTCCTACTTTATAGATTTATGCTGGTTGAATAAATAGTACATGAGTTTGAACCCCATTAAAGTCTATGAATACTCTTGGACATACACAAGATTGTGTGTAAAGAACTTGACAGATAAATCAGGAGAATTTTAAAAATACTTTTGAGGAAATGAACAAATGGACCGTTATACAATTTCACAAGTCATGTACAGAAAAAAATTGCAGTAAGTTTCTGACATTTTATTATGCTTCTTTAATAATCTAAATTGCCCTGTCCTTTTAAAATACCTCTTAATTTTTGATAGATCTCTGCTATACAGAATTGATGATTATTTCATGAATGAAATCACTTTGTATAATTCCTACAGAAAGCTTCCTCTACAGCTGAAGTTTGTCCAAATAGTATTGATGTTCCTGCACAAATCATAAATATTTAGAATTATTTTTTAAAGTTTAATGTTTAGAAATATTTTTTATTAGAAGATCATTTAAACATGAGTAGAACTAGCTGAGCTCTCATAATTTTTAAATAAAATTTAAATTAAGTTTTGTTGAGAGTTACCCTTTCTTACATTGTTCAAGCAACTCCCAAGTCTAAATTATTCTGATTTTACACAAAACAGCAGTGGTAAAAATGTTATGGATCAATATTCATGTATTTATGGAAGCAAAGCAATTAGCACTAGATTTTTAGAAGGCACACAACCATATAACAAACATAATATGAGCTCTGTTCCAGAAATACACAGCCACTTAAACTCTGCCTAAGTTCCACAAGACTTCCGAACACAAAGACTAACAAGATTGACTTTACAGTAATAAGATATTTTTTATAACTACTCTATAATGATATTTTACATTATCTCATTAGCACATAAATTGCTGTTTTTAAATTAGGATAAAGCTGTAATAAGTCATTACACAGTTATCGATAACTGTAGTAGCAGTCACTATAGTGTTAATATTTACCTTGTGTTAGTGATGATGACTATTAATATTTTCCCATATGACCTTATAGGCAACATCTAATTACCTTTTTGTTCCTGTAATAAAAATGCTTATGCTAACAAGTCACTTCTCAGGGATAATTGTGGTCAGCTAAAACTTTTAGATTTTAGGACAAATTACCACATTTGAAGAAAGACATAGTAACAGGAAGTAGTTGAGTCACCATCCACAGAGATATTTAAAAGACATGTAGATGTGGCAATAGGGACATGGTTAGTGGTGGACATCCCAGTGTTAGGTTTACAGTTGGACTCAATGTTCTTAAAGGTCTTTTCCAACCTAAATGATTGTATGATTCTATGCTATGATTCTACAAAGGTATCAGTGAGGAAAATTAAAAAAAAAAAAAAAAAAAAAAGCTTGTACAACAGATAGAGGTCAAAGCTCTCCACTTGCTACAGCCAGAGGAACTCTAACAGAACTGTCATCCCTATGTTGT